TTTATACCAATATTGATGTTAATGACGATTATGGGAGTGAAAATTGGTTTAGAAGCGCATGCATTTTCTATCAGACGAGACAACACTCGTATTGACCGCTCCGAGATACGAGCATCCAGCGCATCAAAGGAGGCCAGAACTACTCGAATAGAAAACAGAAACACCGAAAATAGTTTTTCGAAGTCAAGGATAGTGCGATGTATGCAGCAGGAATGGCAGATTGAATAAATATAAGCTAAAAATATAATTTTATAACTTAGACTGCAAAACATTTTACTTGAAACTTTAAACGCGTTTTTCTCAAAACTGTTTTTATTTAATCTGATACCCATGATTTCTCAGATTCTGCCCAACCGATTTACTTGAAATTTTAAGAGAATCTTCTTTAGAAACATAGCGACAAAATTGGAAATTGATAATCTTTTCTATTTTTTGATTTCAGATTGCTTGGAGAGCTAAAATCGTGGGTATAGTCATGAACCATATTTTTGGGACGCCCCACTCTATCAGCTGATAAATAACAAAATTTAAATTTTTTTATTTTTTAGTTTGTTTTGTATGCTTTAAAGATGGATAAATAATACATCAAAAAATTGATAACAAAAATATTGCTTGCTTTTTTACAGCACTTCAAAAATGACCCAAAATGCATGCCTCTAGACCAGAATACCCCCTTAAGATCTATAAATTGAGCTGAGCCTAACCTACAATAATAGGTTTTTTAAATGGGAAGCATTTTGCCTTTGCACTGATATTAATGATTAATGTTATTTAATTTTAAGAAATGTAATAAGCTTGTTCTTGTGAAATCAGGTTACTCATCCAGTTTTAGAAGTATGAGAAACTACCTCTATCCAGGCGTTTTCCTCTTGTCAAAAAGTCGCTTTCAAGTAAAACTCAGTTTCTGAGAACGCATATCATTTATCTCATATACATTACAGTCCAATTATCATTTTATTTATTTGTCAGTTAACTTTCCTCTCTATCAACTTTCCAGTTATTCATTTTCCCTAAAATTCTATCTGATCACTCTCTTCCTTCTTTACTTTTGTACATGTTAGTTATTCGAAATCCGATTCTCTGTCACTTGATGGCATTAAATTTATGAAAAGTTAAAAGATCGAGAGTTTAGAAAGTTTCCTTGTTACCTTTCTTTATCAAATTTTTCGAGAATTAAAGATGATATAATCTTCCTGTATATTTGTGTCTTCTTTTCAAATCAAACATAACTGCAAATTCCGTTAGCTCGGATCACTTAAATTAACTCAAAAAAATCATTTATTATTTTAATTATCTATCTAAATTAGCAATCAGATTCATAATTTCGTTTCTTCGAAAAAGATGTACTTTATAGTGGATAATTTCAAATATTTATCTAACTCACATCATCCATATACCGTTGAATGGAAATATTATAAGGTCCCCAATATTCTGTTTCTAAGCAGTCCCAAGTAGAGTTGACAATAGTCATGTAGTGAATAAAATTCTGTGGATCATTGGGAGACAACCGATTTCCCGATATGTTTATACCAGATCGCACAGCTACCAAATTTGTAACTTCCGCCATTGTGAGTCCAATTTCACCGGACGCCCGAAGCTCCTGCATTTCACAAGTTGAGATTTGTTGAATGAAGTAGGCTGTCTAAAGTATAGGGACGATGAACAAATTATGATAGTTGGTTCGGTGATAAAACTAGAAATGTGTCACAGATTTCTATTTAAGATCGTACAAAATCAAACTAATTTCACTCATCAAAGCAGGTAACCGACTCAAGTCAAAAAAGTGTATAATGTATGAACTTATGCATATATGACACAATTACTTACGAAATTATGCGTCTGTCTTCTTTAACTTTACTGATAATGATTTTTTTTAAATTCGAAATTTGAGTGATTGAGTTCTGAAGGTTTCAAAATTTTATCAAGGACTCAGTAATTTAATCAACATTAGGATGGTGAAGTAAACCTAAAAGCAAAGGGTGGGGGGGATATAGAATTCGAACAAACTAAATGTCATGATTTATCTAGATCAGGGCTTGGGGTGTGCCAATGTAATTTCATTCCACTGGAACTGTCATTTCTCAATGCAAATCCAAACCGTCTCTCTGGGAAAAGGCTTTTTCTGCGAAGAGGGTAAAAAAGCGAAATGCACTGCCAACACTCTAAAATTATTTTAAAAAATCTTTGTTATTGGTGCACATAGTATCTTTCAGTGACTCTTATAAATACAAGACAAATTCTAATAAAAAGTACCCAGCTGATTACAATTCTTCTTTAAACAATAAAAATCGTGTTAATATCGGTACATCGGAAGGAAGGAAATACAAACAAACAATGCTACTTTTAGAGTATAGGTGGCAAACTCCCCCGAATCATGTTTATTTAGAATTCATTATGCAAACATATTTGCCGTGAACGATAAGCATTAAGTTTAGAGTTGAATCCAAAAGAGAAAGCCTCTCTCTCTCTCGCTCGTAAGGCGAAGGACGACTACATTATCCAGTCCAATGTTTTAAATGGTGTAGAAGCAAGTGGCGCAACTGAAACACGACGCTTAGGTTGGGGGTGGGAAAATCCTATCAAAGATTTAAAACGAAAATACATCCCATTTAATAAGAGTGCATGGGGGAGAGGAGGAGAGAGAGAGGCAGAGTGAGAGGGAAAGAGAGTGGAGTAGGCTGTGATGGCTAAAGCCCAAATCACACTTCCGATAATAAATATGAATTGCTTTTTTATGGTCCACGCTCTCATCTGTAGCTTCCGTTAGGATTTCTTTCGCTTCTTGACAGAAAACGGGCCGAAGGTGATCACAGCGAGAAAAACCTAGTATTTTGAAAATCACTTTCAAAATGATCCCTCCCCCCTTATTGCTTGAGGTTGGTAAGAACTCAAAGCTGAAGTAAGTTAAACAAAAAAATCCGTTGTTAAAGTATTTTACCCCAAATGAACTTCTTATTATGAAGTAAAAAAAAATAGTGTAGCAAAATAGGATAATCCATAAAACTCAAACTGAATGAATACCAATCAGTATTATTTTAACTTTTGATGCAAAAAATAAGGAGAAATACTATTGATCTTAGAAATTTGTACACTTAGTTGAAAATAGATACACCCAAAACTGTACTACATCTGTTATAGATTATTGCAAGTTACGATCTAGCCTAATTTCTTCAATATCGTACCATGTTCGCGTTGAAGTGACTTTTCTTTTTAAATGTGAATATATTTCTCTAAAGGTAAAAAATCAACTTCACTATCTATTTTTCCATTATAAGAAATAGTGTCATTAATTCCCATAGTTTTGGTCTTATCGAAATAAAACCCGCTTATTTTCAACTTTGAAACAGTTAAATTATATTACATTGAATGGTGATCACCTTTTTCAGATATATTTCATATATTTATTATTAATTTTCACAATTTACCTTATTTTATTTTACAATACTTTAATCGCATGGACTTAAAATAAAATATTAAATTCACCTGCCGGGAGAGTTCCATGTCGGAGACCTTCTCAATTTGTCGAAGTTCCTGTAACCAAGGCGAGGCAGCTCTTCTAGCACTTTGCCCAGGAAACGTCCTCCTTATTGCCTCCTGGCTAGCTAATTCCCTAATCCTGTCACCCTTGGCATTTTGGACGCAAGAGATCAAAGTTTTAAACGAATCGGATTCAATACTCAGGAGGACTGAGAGTCCCACACTGAATGTAAAGAGGAATATTGTAAAAGCACGAAAGCAAACATAGAGGAAAATAAGAATTTTTCGTGAGGTTGGAATGCTATCTGTAGCGGGATGACGCCGAGAAGAGTGAACAATTCCAGTTGCATTTTCTCGAGCTGGGGAGGAATAGGGACTATTGTCTACCATCAAAGCGGAAGTAGATGATTTCGTTACTTCTATATAGGCAGAGGAGAGTGAGGAAGCACGGGAATTCTGAGGCGCCGAGCCTTGAAAAAGCAACGCCGGTACTATAAACTGGCGACGCTTGGGTTTACATATGTATAGCATAAGAAATGCAATAAATAGTACTAAGTACAGACTCCCTAGAAATACCGAGAGGAGTAGGAATGGGAGAGGGGTATGTAGGCCTTGGGTATCTAAGAGTGTTATGGATATATCTCGAGGGCTTTGCATTAGAACCGGTTGAGAAGTTAACTGTTGTTCTGCTGTTGGATTTTTTACGAGGTATTGAAAGTAATGTGAGCTTTGGCAATCCGAGAGCTGGGCATATACAAGAAGCAGTGGAGTAAACGCAGAAGCTATTTCGAAGTCGAGGGTAAATTGTCGAACCTCATTCTTATCCTTTTCTTGCCTACCAAATAGGATCACGTCTTTATCGACGAGCTCATGCTGTGTTCCGTTAAACGCATTGTTGTCTCTGTGATAAAATACTCCTAACTTAATCGTCACGTAAACTGGCGTTCCAGAAACCCAGCCTAAAAGAAGACGGGAAAAAAGATAGTCATAAGAGAGAAGTTTAGGAAATAACTTACGAAAGGGGAGTTTACGATTACCGTCAAATGTGGTGAATGCTATGGGCTGCGAGAAGAGAAAATTCTGGCATGCGCATGCGTGAATAAGGCAACAAAGGTTGATTTGATTGGTTGTCTGAAGGTAGTTTATTTACTGGCCATTATACGTAAATCAGTGGCCAATCAAACCAGCCCATTCAAAATGGCTTGCTACCTGACCACAACAATCAATTCGACACTGTGTGCGCGTCTATTGATATTAAGTATTCAACATTGTAGATGACGCCTCTTTTATTCTATTTTCAAAATGGTTAAGAAGTGCTTAATTTTCAAATTCTCCACATGAAGTAGGTTTACCAAAATTTCGAAAATTTCCCATTTACTAAGACGTAGTTTGGCAAACAAAACCAAGTTCCCGTGAGACTTGAACCACGAGGATTGCAAGTTTTGTTTAAACTTGAGTCTTTTTATTTCCATTTATAAACTTCATTTCGTCTTTTTGGCTTGATTTTAATTTGTAATTGATTATTAATATTTTCTTGATATTTTAAGTGTATTATTGAACCTTTACAACGTCAATAGACCGATAACTAAATAAAAATTTATGGCAAACTTTCTTTCAATTTGTATTAAGCACTACCTTTAATTATTCATGTATGAAATTTCAGAGGATTCATTTTTAATGTTATAAAAAACTGCAAATTGGAATATCAACCGAAGAAAGACCATTCCATTTTATCCTAAACAGTTGTCGGGATTCGCTTTCCTATAATTAGTAGGTATGATACAAACAAATTTCATCCTAAACATTAACAATTGTGTCAAAAAATGTTTTAATTATTTATTGCATTGCGGCAGTTTAAAAAACTTGCAAGTGCCTCCTTGACCATAGTATTGTTTTTGAAGGCGTTCAAATTTGATTTCCTAAATTTTGCCTACCTCTGTCTTTGATTTCTCCCTTCAACATGCATTTCTAGTATTCGTTCGCAACATATTCCCTTCCCAATGGCAACACGAACTCAATATTTAAAACTGGGGTGCGCGATAGACTTACCTCCTCGTGGTACACCCTGGACAACGTATTTTCTTACGGCAAAAAAGTCTATCACTCGGCATTCGTTTTTGACTTCGATTAATTATAATTAGCTTTAAAAAAGGCTATAAGAAAAATCGCCCTCGTCAGAGTGAACCACTACGTCTTCAGATCCTCCAGTGGAATGCTGGAGGAATGTCTCCAGACAAAAAGATCCAAATACAGAAAATCCTGCAAACCTATGATGTAGACATTTTCACCATTATGGAAGCTAACATTTTGGATGACAAACTGAAGTATTACCAATTCCCAGGTTACACCCTGTACAATCTACCTAAATACCGGCAAGTTACAAGTGGAATTCTAACTGGAGTAAAAGATGGCCTCACCTCACACTACGACCTAATCAAGAGTATGGGCTCGACACAAGACAAATGTGAAATAATCAGATTAAATATTTGGAAATGTCAAAACCACTTCAAGATATATGCAGTCTATAATCCTCCCCAGAATTGTCCCAACTTTGACATTCTGAACATCTCACACAAAACTATAGTATTAGGAG